AATTTCGCAGTTCTGTTTTCAATGACTAGATCGAGGCTCTAATGAGAGCTAGGATATTTATTGTTATTTTCTATACAAGACAAGAAGACCCATATTTAAATCCTGGCTCTTGGTACCACGTACAGTCCTTCTGAGAACTAGCGTGATGACAGCTGCAGATTAACAACAGAAAGATGGGACATAATAATTAAGAAATACTAAGATATTAGTAACTTGATGGAGTACGTAAATTCATGATTAATGAAAGGTTATCTTAAGACATGAAAAGTTGCTTCTCTTATATGTAATTGTAAAAATGCCCATAAAAATTGCAAAACACAAAATGTGAAACCACAACTTTGCATGTGGACTAAACAAGCCTTCATGCCAAATTTGGTGAAGGTCCATCAAAAAGAGGTGAAGTAGTGGTAAGAAATGCAAAAATGCCCATAAAAACAGCAAAATGCAAAACTGAAAATTGTATGTATCTCCCATGGACCTAATGAACCTTCATACCAATTTTGGTGAATATCCATCCACACCCTGTGAAGTAGTTATATGGTCATCAACAGAAAACAGACAGTACTATTATATTTATGAAGATTACACTTAGTCATTGATAATTCTAATTAGGTGATCACAGAGGCTAATATCCATAACAATGATTGAAATTCATTACCAGAACCTTAACACAATTATAAAACTGTCCTAATTCTATCAGAGATTAAATATTACAGTATGTAAAAGGTATCATATTTGGGGTGTTGATTTGGGCTGGTTGATTTGTTATTCTATTATTTTCTGAAATTCTACTTGTTCTATTTCAGCATTTTATTTCATATGAGGAATAAAAACTATTACAAAATGTATTAGCTTTTCAGGTCACAGTAGGCTTAGATCTGAGCTGTCTTACTGTTGTCTAGTGGTAGACTACCACTGAAGTGAGGATTAGGAAGAGATTGTTGGTAAGTTTTCTTTAATGGTTTCTTTCATAGTTTAATTTTGTTGATAGAATCATGTTTTACTATGACTTTTATATTGTTTACCAATCCAAAAATTGTAAATCTACACCAGTAATGTATAATTTAATAATGTTATTTTTATGGAAAAAGAAGAAATCTTAATATTACATCTTAACCATTTATGATACCTTAAAAATCAAAAGGTGTAGTGTGTCTGTCTTAGTTTTGGGTTACCTACAGGTAATACCATTTTTTAATTTATGAGAAGTGTTCCCCTGGTGGAACAGCAGTAAGTCTTCGGTTTTACAATGTTAACATCAGGGGTTCGATTCCCCTCGGTGGACACAGCATAGCCTGATGTGACTTTGCTATAAGAAAACACACATACATACAAGAAGTGCCATTAGAAATGCAGTTTATTGAATGTATTGTGTTGTTATAAATGTTACCCTGAACAGGCAAAAGATATATGTAGGATGTAATCATGCTGAACTCAAAAGCTTGAACAAGAAAAAACTTAGCCATTACTTTTGTGTATTACTGAATTTTTGAAGCAAGAACTGAAAATATTGTAGTTAATCAAAGTTCAAAGCAAAAAAAAAGTGGATAAGTAATACCAAGGTGCACACTCTTAATATAGTTGCCAAAATTTTAGGTGTCTAGGTTCTTTCCTCTCGGAGCTATGTGATTTTTTGTTAGTTTGCCTCATAAAAAGATGTGCACGAACATATGAGCATCCATGTGGATAAGTAGTACCCAGGTGCACACCCTCACGATCCAGTTAGTATGGGTGCAATATTTCAGGTTTCTAGGTTCTTCCCTCTTGGAACTATGGTGATCACATTTTTTTCTGTGTGGTTTTTCACATAAAATGATATGCATGCATGATCACACAGACACACGTGTCTGTCTGAGATTTCTATTTGTAATAAAAGGAACCACTTCTTTTCTGTGGTTTTTCTTTAGCTTGCCTCATTAAAAAAATGTGCATGCAAGCATACATGTGCACATTTCTATATCTTTTTTTTCACATAAAAAATGCGAATGCATACATGCATGTAGATAAGTCATAGTACCCAAGTGCAAACCCTCATGGTTTACTTAGTATGGAAGCAAAATTTCAGGTTTCTAGGTTCTTTGGTTTTGGTCCTACAGTAGGCACATATTCTTTCCTATGTGGTTTTTCCATCAGCTTGGCTCACAAAATGACCAAAATTATGCCCATGCATGTGGATAAGTAATAATACCCAGATGCACATTAGTGAATGTACCTGGTTTCGCTTGGTTATTAAGTTAATTTATTCTAGATGACTATGTTAGTAAGTGTATTCTGAACTCATTTTAGCATAAAAGTACAACCTATATAGTTTTGTTGCTCCTTTATGGGATTTGGCCTGTTTATAAAGTTATCCTTCCCTCTGATTTTAAACTTAAATAATAAGAAAAAAATAATAAAAAACAAATCTCTTTAATAAACAGAGCATCTAAATTAGAAAACGATAAATATTTTTTCAATTTTGTAGTTTATTCAATTCATTTTATACTTTCAGCACATAGCCTCTTAATAATAATATTAGGTTATACTTTTGTTGCTAAGCAACATGATATAAAAGCCATTGATGGAACAAATTGTTACCAAAACACATGACTTTTCTGTATATTGGAAGTTGTTATATAAGGAACCACTTCTTTTCCATTTGGTCTTTCGCTAGATTGCCTCATTAAAAAGATGCACACACACGCAATTGTATCTCTGTCTATGATTTATATCTATAATTTGTAATATAGGGAAGCATTCTTTTCTGTGTGTTTTTTCACTAGCTTGCCTCATTAAAAAGATGTGCACATGCATTCACGCTTGTGGATAACATAAGTAATAATTTTTCACTGTCTTTTTCATGAGTAAATGTGATGTTAAAGTGAATGTTGTTTATGTGTTATAGAAGTGAGTGTTGATGATTGTTGTTTTCAAATCTACAAAATACATTGTCAGCATATCTAAATCAATGCGTGGGGGGATG